AGGAAGAACTTGAATTCGTTGCTTATTAAATAACGATAGAAACATCAATTAGGGTCAATGTTTTGTTTATAAATGAATTCCATTTAAATGAACATGAAATTTAGGATGGCATAGATTGTGATAGTTCAAATGGGAGCCCCTTATGTTTCTCAGAAATGATAATGAGCACATAATAATAAATATATGTGCATTTAGGTACATATAAATTTTGCACGTAGCATGCTGGTACTGTTATGAAAATAAAGCTATTTGAATAAAAATGTTATTATCTAAATTTTTTGAAAATTTAATAAAATTATCAATCAAATCGAACAATTTCTATTATAGAAATTATTCGTTAACATTAACCGCGCTAGATAAATATTTCAATCGTGATAATGTTGACGTATTGTATATCTATTTCTCAAATTTAAACACCTTTTCAGATTTTGCTAAGCGATCTTTTTGATAATAAGTACATTCAGCAATTTTAAACAGTTTTCCCCAAAAATGCTTGAAAATATTATATAAATTATTTGCATTTTTTGCTTTTTATTCACCGCGGTTTTTTCAGAAATATTTTATTCTGAAATATGTTAAATGAAATCAATATTTGAATATTACCATTACAAGTATTAAGAAAACGTATTGGAACACGCATTTTGCCAATGTTTTTTACGTTTGTAATACAAACCTGTGGTTGGCGAAGGAATTGGAATTAGGTTACTATAACGAAGGGTCGTGTAAATTATTCAGACATCACTATGGATCCTCTATTTAGAATTCCATAAGGATAAGGATAAAGTTTGACAGTAAATTAATAACTAGGATAGAATAACATAAAAAAAAAAACAGAAATAGAGTATATTTCGTTTTTCGGGGGACAAAACTAGATTCACAATGGACGGTATATTTAAATCAAGGTGTTACATAGACTAACTTTAATTTTATAAGGTCGAGGGAAAAGTTTTTTCGAATTTTAAATACAAATTCAAGGCATTTTTTTGTTCAAAATTTAATTAAGTACATTTAATTATAATATATATGTGCCATTTTGTACGATAACTTGTTGCCATCTTGTAGGTAGTGATATAATCCCGTTGCTGTAGAAATCTTGGGATTTTTGATCCAAAAATTGCGACAAGTAGTTTTAACAGTCCTCATTTGATGTTAATGTAACACTACCTATAGAATTTTAAAGAGACCGAGCTGCATGGCCAAAGATGTGTGTGATCTGACGTTATCACGATGAAAGATCACTCGTTTTCTGTTGATCAATTTTATCAATTTCTTGCGACCAGAGCGAGCTGCATCTTTGACATTAAAATTCCAGAACTGAAAAAGCTTGAATCAACTTTGTGGTACTCTTACTGACACTACATTAGGTCCATAAACGTCACAATTTTTTTCGCGGTTTAAGCCGCATTTTTTCCTTTTTTGTAATAAAACTTCAAAATGTATCGAATTTATTCGTTAGATTCACTCATTTTAGCGGACAAACTATTGAAAAATGTCGGGATAGTTGTTTTACTTTTTACTTTTCTTTTTCCTTAATGACCTATATGTATTGATATTAAAACCAGCCAGATACAAACAGTACAACCAAGCAGATTTTTCTTCAATTTCATACAAACAAAATACAAATAACTTGTTCCCCGACCTATTATTATCTTTTAATTTGAAATAATTCTAGTTAAAAGAAAGGAACCTGATTTAACAATAACCACTGCTGGGCTAAGAAGTATCGGAATACGTAAACTAACCTATTTTTTACCGACTGCAAAAAAGAAGGAGGTACTCATTTCGACTGTATTTTTTATGTGTGTGTTACATCAGAACTTTTTCTAGGTGAACCGATTTTGATAATTCTTTTTTTTTTTATTCTGCTGGTAAGCTTGTGCTTCTCTGGTTCCATATAAATTTGATCAAGATCTGACTAGTAGTTTTTGAGTTAGCTTTAATAATGTCTATTTAATTGACTTCGACTAGGTACGTTGATGATCTTGTCATTTTATTTAAATTGAAGTCGATTGTACATAATTTTTAATTTCACCATTTGTACCTTACCAGAATCAATAATGGAAACATTGATTATATTTAATGCCCTAGTGAAAGTAGTACTCAAGTAATAAAACTTAGCCCGTTATAATCAACGAAAAATCACATGAATAAAGGTTGTAAGTAAGGTAATATAAAAGTTTATATTATTATGAAAAATGAATGAATTTTCACAGTGTATTAGCAGCGTTTGAATACTTATCGTACGTCACAAAATTCGTTTAAGTGTGAAACAATATAATGGCATCTAACGTAATAACTATTTCAAAAGGCCCCCGACTATCAGAGGTAACTGTTAAGGACCAAAAGTAAATGTAAACTAAAAAAAGTCTTAATCATATTAATACGAAATTATTTAATATTTGGTGTTAAATATTAAATTTTCCAGTTTTGCTTTAAATAATCGTTAGTAAATAATAACTATTAAACTATACTACGGAGAGATCTGTTATTCCTTACATCGTTATTGTGTGAGAATTGTTTAATGTTATCGTGATAAAAACAGAAACATTAGTAGGAGTCACTACAGTACAGTACAGTTGCGATAAATATAAGTAGTGGGCAATGGCGTGGACGGCTCTCCCGCGGTGGTAGGGAACACTTTATCGATCACGCGCCGTATCATTAGATATCATTGTGATCTATGATCAATGGTGATTCGGAGCCGGGGATTTATTAGGGCTGGTCACACTACGTTGCAGGCACGACTTGCTTTGGTTTCTTTTATTTATTTATGTATTATTTGTTTAAATTTTAAAATATTTACTTATAGTTTTTACTTCATAACTGTAATAACAAATTCTTGATCATAATACGCAGTTATAATCTAAATATTTGATATTATTTTAAAGCTGTTGAGATTGTTTTTCTTTTATAGGATAGGGTGACAAACGAGCACACAGTCCTAATTGTAAGTGGTTGCTGTGGCCCATAGACATCCACATCTATCCTCAATAAAGAATCAAAATGCAGATGTGTTGTCACCCGTGAGGACTAAGATGGAATGCCTCATTTCCATTAAAAACGGTTTCTGGTTTTCTACACTCACTATATGAAACACAGCAGCGTTAAGCTGCTATTTTATAATGGTATTCTGTGAGAGCGTGGTCCTTCCCCGGTCGAGCCGACCCATTCGTGCTATAACTATATTACTAATATAGCTGCAGCAAGGCTACTACGTACCACGTAATTATTATGTAAATAAATAAAAAGAAAATATATATATTCATCATTGTCAGCCCATGAAAGTCCACTTCTGCACATGGGCATCCCACGTTGCGAAGAGGTCTGTCAAGTGTGGTAATTTAGAGAAAATTGTCACACGTGACAGACCAATTGACAATCACAGTATCAGACGAGTCGCACCGGCGCTGCCCGTCGCTGGTCTGGGCATTTTGAACTCGGCGTTAACGAGATCATTATACCGCTATCTATTGAAAATCATAAGGATTTTTCTGGCATTTTTGCCTTTTGGGTGTCGCCACGGGACAAAATGGGTGATGGTTTACTATAAATATGAGCCAAATCTTAGGCAATCGCTATTACGAAAAATATAATAGGTAGCTTTTTACATTATTGTGACTATGTTGGACTAAAAAATAGACCGAACTTTTAGTACAGTATCTGCTACGAATAAAAATAGACCATTTGATTATTGGAACAATGTTTCTTCGAATATGACGGATGGGGGCTAGGCGAGAAAAAGTGTAAGATTTTTCCGTCACGACCCCTTCTGACGTAGTGTAGACGGCCTTGGCGGCAACAAGGAAGCGAGATGGAATAATAGCCATCTCCCTCGCACTTTTTCTTATCTTGCCATTAAATAAATATTATTTTATTTTAAATGAAGCTTCATTTTAATGTACGCTAGTAATTCATTTATTTGTATTTGTTAATCAATAACATAAATACGTTTATCAATAATAATATACTACGAAAGGAACTTCGTTCCAACCGAGAGTTCCACGACACTCACGCATGTTTTTTGTTATTCATATTATGTCTAAATTTGACATCTGTACTTAATTCTACCTAAATTACAATAAACTCATTTTATCGTTAGTTTTGTCGACAATGAAACTTGCTGGTTACAAAACTACTTTGTCCTATCTTACGAGTATGTTTTTTCTCATTCACAGAGAGAGTTATAAAATGCTTCGTTTATACGACAATGCCTCTTATCTTAATAGGTGTACCGGCCCTTATAATGAAACAATTAAGACAATACGAAACGAACAATAGACAAAAAAAAATATATGTGAAAACGCCCGACATTAATCTTCTTCACGTGTTGCCTTGTTTGTTTTCCCGCGTCAAACATGAATTCGATTTTTAAACTATCAGGGATTATTTTTGGAGATGGACGTATTTTAATTTTTATCTCGTCTCTTGTCCATGTGTAAGTAAATGTTTTTGAATATTAAGAGGATTCAAGATATATATTAGCTTACGGTTTTAAAATAATGTTCGACTAGTTTATTTTATTGTTTGAAATCTTATATTACTTTTTAGGAGCTTAGGATAAAGTCATAAATAAGTTTTTTATGAGTTAATTAAAACTTAGGTACTTAAATTTAGATCATCACATAGTTTAAATGAAATTCAACTCAATTCACAGGCGTTCCAGGTGGGAGTTCCGAACACCTAGTAGCCCCAGGAGTACGATGACTCGGAAGTGGTTTCGAGACATCGTTAGTACCGCGTGGGTGATAGCATGCACTATTTGCAGGCAAAAAATAAAGCAAAGCGAAAGATTGGTATTTCGAATGGAGATTCCGGGAACCCTCACATACGCTGATGGTGACCACCGTTGGGTTTTAGCCTATAGAAGTCCGGCATAACTTTTCCGTTGCCGCCCGCAGCGAAAGGTTTATATGAAGATTTCCTCACGTTTAAAAAAGACTCCTGACCGGCTCCCCTGTGTTAAAGTACCCGCTTAAATGTGACATGTAGAGATTTTGTACCTTGTGGGATCCCGTGGGAGACACTGGCGCTCCTGCACGGCGACGCCGCCGCCGCACGAGCGCGAGCACGAACTCCACGCACCCCACGCGCTCCACGCGTACAATGTTGTATTCGTTCGTATCGCGGGTGTCGTTTGAAGCATCTGGAATTAGTTGGAATTATGTCTTAGATTGTGTGTTAGGGGATAAATATACATACCATCCTTTCATTTATTACTGCTCATCAAAAATCTGAAGGTATCCGTAGACTACGGATACCTTCAGATTTGACGAATATAAACATAGAAACTGAAACATCAGCATTTCTGATAAATAAATTGTAATAATAAACTGCGGTTGCTGAAACTCCTGCCAAGCGTGACAACTATGGCAAATATTCCCCCCTCTATGCAATCATTGGGAGAGGCCTGTATTCAGCAGCAGATTTTTGATAGCCTGTATCAGTAACGGAATTTATCCATTTTATTAACAAAAAAAAATACTATGGACTGAATAAGTTTTGTTAAATTCTTTTGAAAATGGCTATGCTTCCTAACATGCCTTTGTTGAGCGCGATAAGTTCTATAGGGTTATTTTTAGTAATGCCGTGGAGTGTATTTTGAAAGACTTATAATAAGTCCTGCAATGATAAAGGAGAACAAGATATTATTCAGTTTTAAAAAAAAAGCTATTATCCCCGCACTAGGATTTTCTCCTGTATTGTAGAGGCAGTTTAACATGTGCAATTTATTTGAATTGGATGTTTATCCTTTTATTTTCAAATATTTGTAGGTCTTCAGTGCCGCAATGCTAAGCCACTACGCTACGGAGCAATCAAATTTGTTAAAGAAAAAGATAGACAAAGATATAAGCAGATGTATATTATAATTTTTATTGTGTGTTTTTGTATTGTATCGTATATACTACGTACGTTTATAAGGTATTACAAATAGACAAACATTCAGAGTATTCAATATTTCCCTTCAGTGTATTTAATATTTTGTCGCATTTTCTTGTTCATTTATTTGTAATTTTTTTTAAATCCTCCTGTAAACCTCTCGGGGTGTAAAATAAGTTTTTTTTTTCATATGCATAATTTATTGGTGTATTAATATTTCTTCTCTAGAGCTTCAACGCTATTTTAACTTTTAACTTTATAAAAGTGTGACAGGTGGCTACTTATAGCACCTCCGATTTGAAGTGTTTTATTATCATACACCAACAACATTAATTAAACAAACAATATATTAAATCGATTTATAGAGCAGCAGCCAAACATAGATATTATTTTTGTACGTAATATCCTTAAAATAGACAATATTTCATTCATAATTCATCCGTTCATTACAACTTAACAAAAATTGACCGTAGAACGTAGGCCTCCCCCATAGATTGCCTCATTGAAGGGATAGTTGCGATGTTTGGCAGGCGGAGTTTCTTATTACTTTGAGCTCTTAATATCAAGTTTGTTAATATAGCGGTCTTAATACAGTTTAATATAAGGGACTTCTAAAGAGCAGTGTTGTTTTTTATTATAAAATAACTTTACCCCCCACACTAGGATTTTCTCCTATATCCTGAAGGCAATTTACATACATAAATTTCACAAGGACAAACAACCAGACCCGTAACAATTACTTATAGGCCAAACAAATACTTGTACTGTGCGGGATACGAACCCACGGCCCTTAGCGCTGCAACTCATTACTGAGCTGCTGGGACACGGAGCCGTCAAATTATGTTCTAAATAACATCTCAAAAAAATAAAAGACCTTTTGTGGAGAAACTGCCCCTTTTATCAAACATTATATTATTATAATTAATTGTGTGCTCCTTGGAAGGATATTTTTTATAGAAAAGGGGGCAACCAAGCATGCGGCTCACTAATTTATCTATCACTATCGAAATCGAGCAATTGATTTGTGATTTTATTGATAGGTCAAAGATGCACGTAAAAATATTCCAGTACAATAATTGACATAATAACGATGTAACTAGGTAGTTCATAATGGGCATCATGGTGAGGGAAAACGAAATTAATCGCAGCGAAAGTATTCGGATGAATGGTATAACGCATACGGGACAAACAAAAAAAAAACAGTCGTTTTTAATAGACGTGATCACAAACAATATATTAAAGTGGTAAGACCTTTTTAACGTGCAATTAATAGATTTTCAATTTTTATTTGAAATATTTTCCCATAACACACATTGTTTTCGTGATAATAGCAAGAATCTCAACTTATAATGGTTTTTTTTTTAATAATAGAACTACTTGTCCGTTGTATGATAGATCTGCAGGTATTTTAGGTAGTAGGTATTATTCCTTTAAAGTTATAGGTGGTCGAAGTCGCAGGTAAAAGCTAGGCATGTAATAAGGTACCTCTTCAAACGATTCAAATGAAACACAAAATTAGATGTATTGCTGCTTGGCTGCAGGATAAGTAAAAGGTCTTAAAGTTAACATTTAAAGTTACAGCCTATATACGTCCCATTGCTAGGCACTGGCCAGGGGGCCTCATTTCTGAAAGGGTTTAAGGGCAAGGAAATGTCCTCGGCGCTTTGAAATAAAATAAATTCTCAGTCATGCAGGTTTCCTCACGATGTTTTCCTTCACCGCCGAGCACGTGGTAAATCAGCAATAAAAGGTCTTAATACGCAGTAAATATTTATACATATAATCGTTGGTGCATTTTTAGTAATCGTATAACTTCACACGTTATTAACACAATATATTATCATAGCTACGCTAGGTGGCGCTGTAATCAACTTAATAACAAACTCTATATTTATGTACAAAAATGATAAAATTGCAAATCGAAATTCTCGTATTCATTATTGCAAAAAAGAAAAAATTACAAAATCTTGCAGTAGTGGCGCTGTAGTAGAATTTTTAATAAATTTTATATTTACACTGTAAAGTACAGAGTGAAATCGGAGTGCAACTCATCGCGCCATCTATCGGAAGGGCAAAATAACGGATACTGGATCAGCTAGCATAAATATCATCACCATCGTCATCGGGTCATCATCATCATCATCACCATCACCATTACAGCCTATCAAAGTCTACATAGACGTTCCTCATATGAGGGATGTCTGCTATTGTTGCGACACTTGAACCCGCCTGGGGTTGGTAATGGCAAATTATTTATCATTTTCTAGTTATTATTAGGAAGATGCTGCTGCTAATCTCCTTGATTGTTTTCCTCTGTGGTCTCTTACGACACCATGGGGTAGTGGATATTCATACACCGACACTCCACCGTAAAGAATATATGTAAAATAATGTAAATAAAACCACAAAAGACATTACACAAGACGTGGCTGTTATTTATAATACCCAAGTACAATTAACGAGTGTATACCTTCAATTACAACAGTATCAATCAAGTAAATATTACTCAAGATGCACGTTGATCACGCCGTACGTAGCGGTATGCGGAGTAGGCACGACAGCACAGCTACCACGAGTGTTTACAAAAACTATATTACAAATTCAAATAGTTCGTTCAGTTAGACGCGATTCAATCTATAAAGGAAATCGTTTTAAGTGACAATATTACGTCGTGGTTTTACGTTTGAAACAAGACTAACTATATAATTTGACGACTCCGTGGCGCAATTGCTTGCCATTACATTGATTTACATGTGTGAATTACACCGCTAAGGGACGAGGGTTTGAATCTCGCACGGAACAAGTTTTTGTATGGCTTATAAATAATTGTATCGCGTTTGTTCTTGTGGAGTTGATGTATGTAAACTATCCACACGATACAGATGATACTAGAGAAAATCCTAGTGTGCAGGTAACGTTAAAACATATACAAAAACCCTGTGGTACCCGTTAAGTGTGTTATCAGAATCAGTATTTAAACGTATAGAACTAACTTTTTTCAGAAAACTCGACCATTAAAAAATTTAATTCTAATTAAAAAAAAATATTTTAATTAAAAAATATTACAAATTGTATGTGGTTTTATTACCTCTGCATTATCCGGGGAGTGACAGGATTGTCAAAGATCCTGCCTAACCGATACTCGTGTCAGTTACAGGTAATAAATAAAAAACAACATAATTTGCAAATAATTTTTTTTTTTGTTATTATTATTGCCGGAAAAAATTATTTCTATACGTTTGAATACTGAATCTGATAAGGCACTTATCGGGAACCACTAGGTTTTTGTTACATATATAAGAAATTTATTTGATGAAATGCTAACTTAGTTACTAGCATAGTATAACACTCTTTAAATATATATTTTTTATAGGATAGGGTGACAAACGAGCACACAGTCCACCTGATGGTAAGTGGTTGCTGTGACATCGACATCTATCCTCAATAAAGAATCATAATGCAGATGCGTTGTCACCCGTAAGGACTAAGATGGAATGCCTCTTCTCCAGTAAAAAGGGTCTCCGGTTCTCTACACTCACCATACGAAACACAGCAGTTTTAAGCTGCTATTTTACGCTGGTATTCTGTGAGAGCGTGGTCCTTCCCCGGTCGAGCCATCCCATTCGTGCTACAACTATACAATTAATATAGCTGCAGCATAGCTCTACTACGTATAAAAAATATTAATATTTTGTTTATTTAAATATTTTCCTTTCCTATATTAGAAAGGAATTTCCGATGGTGTATCGCTATCTGTCTCTCTGTCCTTTCCCATATTTGCCTCTTACGACACCTACGGGATGTTGTAATAACTTAAATTAAAAATTTTAAAAACATCCGAAACAAAAAGAGCTGATCATCTTCAAACGGCTAAAATGGTTTTCTTGAATCATAGCTAAGAACACTCTCAATCAAGTCACTGTTCAAACAAAAATAATTTAAAATTAATAATTTTGTACAGCCGACTTCAATATAAGTTATTAAGAATAACTCAAAAACTATTGGTCTGACCTTGATCAAATTTATATAAGAACACACGAGAAGTATCAGCTTTCATATAAAAAAGAATTATCGAAATCGGTTCACCCAGTAAAACGTTATGAGGTAACACACTTAAAAAATAAACAAAAAAAAATATACAGTCGAATTGAGTACCGTTTCCTTTTTGGAAGTCGGCAGAAAAACTACATCTAAATCGGTTCATCCGTTCGGGAGCTCCGATGCCACGGACAGACACACAAATACACACGTTAAACATATAACACCCCTCTTTTTCCTCGCTGTTTAAAAACTAAGAACCTTAGGGTAAGTATGTTATGTACTTAGTTCAAATATTTTTTTTAAATAGTAATTATTAGCAATTTTTAAATTAAATATTTTTTATTACGGCTTATATCTTCGTTTTCAATCATACTGAATTATAAGACTCCCTAAACCGCCCAAATACTCACTATGTTTATCCAAGGCTTGCTGACAAAAACGCCTTATAACAATATTAACATTGCCTACAGTTATTAGTGCAAACATGCATAAAATACAAAAAAGGTGATAATTTTATTATCATGAATAAACTGTTATTACAACCGTTTAAATTATGTTTTTAAATTGTTTTTGAAAAACAAAGCCCATTGGATCAGTAAGCTTGAAACCGATAACCGCTGGCGTTTCTTCGTCATTTAGCCCTCGAGTACTGGCAAGACCCTTTAATAGCTGGTGAGTGGACCTGATCAAACATGTAAGGAATCAATGACGGCTGAAGACCGTGATTTGAAGCAATCTATGGTGGACGCCAATCTTCATTCGAGAACTTTAGATGACCTGCTATCATATGATGATGAAGAAATCATAAAATATAATATTATATCATATACTAGCGATCTCCCCCGGCTTAGCACGGGTGATATATCTGGATTCTACATCAGCGCCACCTACCGGGTCCAATTATGCCTATAACGAAGTGTAAGCAATATGTTGACAAAGTTTTACTGCAGTCTGATGAACGGTGTGGTAGCGCATAAAATACGAATAAACATTAATTTTTATACATTAGATTTGTCTTTTCCCCTCATTCCGTTTTAAAAATCGTGGTATTTAATACATCACTTACCGACGGACTTACTTCAGTGCTGGTTGACTGTGAAGTTGTTAGCGTTTCTCTAATGCATACTGTGATGAATCTGAAACAATGAGCTTCAATTAATAAAATTTACTTGCGTACTATTTTATTCGCACACACGTTGACAAACGAGCAATACAATCTACTTATACGTTTAAATTTGTACTCATTATTAGATCGCTGAGATTTCTTATACAAGATTATTTTATGTTATTCTAGCTCATTGACTTCGTTCCGGACACATTCCACTTAATAAATTTGCATTCTTGATTAAATAGACAAATTCACCTGATTGTGTGGTCTGCGGCAAGATAGAAGATGTACACCATTTATTGGTCGAACCTGTTCGCTACGGATCCGAAAGAAAAGTGAGTTTCGATTTCTTGAATATTAACAGACTTGATGTTGGAATGTTTCATAATATTTTATCTCAAGCATCATACGAAATATCCACACGACGTCTGAGGGATTTTAAAATGTAGATCGAGTAATGTATGATTACTAAAATGTGGTGTGATGGAACTGCCATATATTATAGTATCAAAGTCCCTAAAGTAAAACTGATAAAAAATATTATTTAAAAAAATCCTTATACCCACACAATTTTTTTGTATCGAGTAGGCATTTAACCTACATAAATTTCAAATGGCTGATTCCCCGACCCTTGTGCAATGTGAGTGTCGATTGTTGACTACAGTACACATAGAGATAAACCGAGCGCTGCAGCCGAGAGCTTATGCACTACCGTGCCGCATCAGCATCCTACATTTGGTGTCATTATTCTAATTATTTTCCTTCCTTTATATTTTTATAAACAACAAAAATACTGTTCATGATCACTAATCACAATAATTACAGTAACGAATTTTGGTGTGATTAGATATCGACGTCACCATCGGAAGCCGCAATCAATGTTTATCGTCAGTAGTTAATGTTTACCTTTTCAACCATTATTTATTTCACAGATTAATGTAACAATATCCCGGAACTCACTTTCAAATCTCAAATTCCCGTCAGCTATTAACAAACCGTAAATAACGTTTGGCAACAAAGGGCCCTCTATACTAATCCAAGTGTCAAATGTAACCAATTAGCATTTCCGTCACAATCGGCGCTTGTTCTTTATGCTGCCGATAGAGACCCTTCTGAATACAGAGTATGCGATAACATCAGGAAGGGCTAATGCCTTTATGAAATACTAAACGACTCCGGGCTTCGAATAGCACGCGTAGAATTAGCGAGCTAATTTATCGATCTGTGTGATCGTAAACAATATCGAATATAAATTGACAGTGTTGATCTGTCAATTTATATTCGATATTGTTTACAATTAGCTTTTATAAGTAATTGTGTATTTTGTATTTCATTGAAAATAACTTAATTTTGGGGTTATAGTTTTACTAACTTTTGGTATATAATAGAAGTACTTTTATTATTATGATATAATCAATTTTTTGTGTATTTTTAAAGCTAAAATTTGAAATGCTATTAAAATACATGATTTCAATGTACAATATTAAAAAAAAGTTTTATCAAAGCAGAATACATAAACCCTATTTATTTATTCTTAACAAATAAATTATAATTTAATAATTAAAAATGTTAATTAATTATTTAATACGTGGTGCCATGCTGCAGTTTTTCCCCGGCTCCATCGGGAAAGGACAATGCCGCTGTGTTTCGGGTGGTGAGTGTAGAGAACCGGAGATCCTTTCTACCGAAAAGTGACAACGCCTCTGCATTTTGATTCGTAATCGAGAATGATGTATATGTCTTTAAAAAATATATGCAAATAGAAAAAAATGTTTAGCTCCGCTGCAATCGGATAGAATGGCTTGTAATTTCTAATTTAAATTATTAAACCATTTTTTTACATCAATGCAATTTATGCTATTTTCGCAATAAAAACTTTTACGGAATAATAAAATTACTATGATATAAATAGTTTCGACAGCAAGTTGGAAGAAAGCAGTTGAAAACTGCACAGATCATTGCGTGGCTACAACAGGTCAAGGTGGAGTCCTGCAGTCGGCGCCAACCATAGCGGTCACGACTCGCCGTCAGTGCACGAATGACAACTTAGATAAAGCCTATTACCAAGCACTGAGATACGGAATTTACTGTGTGTACAGTGGTTTAAATAATTCTAAAGATAAAATTCTTCTAATTATCGTTCGGTTCTATTGTGTGCTAGGTGATTTATAATCAGAGGTATTGGTTGACATGATTCTTAGGCACTCTTTAAATCGTGTTTTAATCACAGTAACTTTACGCGGTAGAGACACGCTGCAGCTATAATCGCTATAGCTCGCATGGGTCCGCTCGAACGGGGAGGACCACGCTCTCACAGAATACCAACTTACGATAGCAGTTTAATGCTGCTGTCATTCTCATGGTTAGTGTAGAAAACCGGAGAACCTTTTTACTGGAAACGAGGGTATATTAGTCCTTAGGAGGCAACGCATCTTAATCGAGGATAAATATAGGTATCTATGGGCAAGATTCTCACTTACCACTGGGTTAATTATGTGCACGTTTGTCACCCTTACTCTACTAAATAGCCTCGTATCATAATCACATGTTTCATCGAATCTGATCATACTTTCATAACTGAAGAGATTTTAAAACTAGATTATGATTAGAGGTATGTCATTTAAATGGAATACTGATGGAGAAAATATTAAATTTCCTATTGCAGTACTACTACAATTTCTGTGAGAAATAAAACCTTTATTTCTTTGTACTATTTTTTATTTCTGAGATGTAGATCTACACAAGATATTTTTCTTCGACTTGGTAAATTGCCTATTTAACAGTAACGTCGAGATTGAATGAAACTTAATAATATATATATCTTTATATATAAAAATTACGTGTCACATTGTTTGTCCGCGATGAACTCCTAAACTATTAAACTGATTTCAATGAAATTTTGCACACTGTGTTCAGTTTGGTCCAACTTGAGAGATAGGATACTTTTTATCCCGATAAATGACCTTCAATATTTCGCGTCGTCGGAAAGGGCAGAACAACGTCTGCCTAGCCAGGTAGTATATATATATATATATATATATATATATATATATATATATATATATATATATATATATATATAATACATCACTTTACATCACGTGCGTGTGTCATAAGAGGCGCCTATGGGAAATACCAGAAAGATCTCACGGTTTCCGATAAATTGCGATGTACATCACGCTTACACCAGACGTACGGACATATACCCAGTCCGGCGACGAGTAGGAGGCATATGTCCAGCAGTGGACTTCTACGGGCTAAAAACGATGAAGAATCCAGGGAGTGCCTACATAAAATTTAAGGCGACCCTACTACGCATAACACAGTGCTTAATATTATTAACGACGATTTTTATGCGCACATGCAATACTTTATTCATTTTGTCACACAAATCGTTCCAAGAAATGCTGCTTTCTGACTTACTGATATCAATTCTACGACCACTGGGTTATTCAGCAGTGTGTTACCAATAATAAAAGCAGCAATTGCTATTGTATCGGTGTCTATTATGTGACCCCATTGTTGTCCTGCTACGGGCGGCACCTTACGCCGGATGTCTAGTTATAAACTGAAATGTGACCGAGTAAACTAATATACAAGCTACATAAATGGCTTTTGCTTTCGTTAGATCAATAAATTAGTCTTATCTCGCGGTAACGTTCACATCCGAATCTGAATACTCGAAACAGTTGTCGCAGCTTCCGTGTGATTTCAAATTCTCAATTTGAATCTTACTAAAATCGTTTAGATAAACAAAAAATGCCATAGCCCAATTACTGCTACTACTATTTTATTGCATTTTTTTTAATAATTTTGATTGTTTAAGCAACTTCAAATGAGGAAGAGGTTATTTACTATTCTGTACGTTTTTACTCGACTGCCCCAGAAGGAGGGTAACGTTTTTGAATGTAGGTATGCTTATTTGTATGTATTTATGTATATTTCTTTGGCACGATATGTAGTATAAATGGTTAGATGTAATAAACAAACATTTGTGGTGTCGTTGGATTGGTCGACGAAACAGAAACAGAAACAGAATCTTTTTTATTCAATATAGATTATAAATAACACGTATTGCAAGTCACTCTTTTGTTTAATTACCATTGGTTGGAAAAAAAAACCTCTGTCCTGGAAAGAACCAGCAAGAATACCAGCGGGACTTTTTTTTAAATAACAGCTTACAATCATATATGTTACACAAATTAACAACACAACAAATTAGAAAAAACGACAAAGTGACATAGGGTTTAACATTTAAATATTTCTCTTTTTAGTAAACGTTTACGGAGCCAGTTTTTTTATAAGACAACTTCTTAAAAATTGTCTCTCAAGTTTTTTTTGTTTTATTACGCTATAGTAGTATGTATAACTTCCTACGTGCGTACATGAGTACACACACACACTTTTTTATTTTTGTTAAACTAGGCTCACTCATACCCTCCATCTGGCCTAAGGGCAAAGATCAGGTCTACGTTGAAGCGAGTTTGCGCAGTAGAAGCCTGTTAACACGCACCTTGAAGAGGTTAAGGTTATATGCACTCGCAAAAACAGACGCCGGCGTGACATTCCATTCCTTGGCTGTGCGCATTATGAACGATGACTTAAACCGAGAAGATCAGTAACCTTTATAGATGTACTTCGGAAAATAGGAGTCAGATTAAACGGACTCCATTTTGCGAAGAACAGACAGACCTGCGTTTTGGCGGCGTTGAAAGTGATCAGGTGGTTATCACCCCATTGGGAGACGTGACTTAAGGTCGCATTTATCCGCTCCACCATTGCCTCTCTGAGTGAACGAATTACTGCCTCTCCGTTTTTTGCACCCAACAATACCTGGTGATGTGCAGTTGGAAAAGAGTCGTAGAGAGAACAGACCCCTGAGTAACTCCGGCATTAATATGCATTAAGTCAGAAGAGCAGCCATTTATGACTACCCTGATTGACAGTTCATTCAGAAAGTCAGATATCCAGTTGCAAAATTCGGCGGGAATGCCGTAAGCACGAAGCTTACTCAGCAGACTTGCGTGT